ATTCTTTCTCGAGAAGAACAATGGTAGTATATCTGGTCGTAGTAGAACAAGTAGTTGGAGTGGAACAAGCTCGAGAGTACGTAGTAGGGCAAATTCAATAAGTGCGGGACAATCGAGTGAAGGGTTCAGGGTTGAGGCGTTAACAGGTTTACCGAAAGATCAGCCCTTTTCCACAGTTACCAGACGGGGTGGTGCTATTGCAAGATCGAACAATAAAGAGACTGATTACGATTCAGGATACCAAGGTGATAAGGAAGATGATGAGAATCGAAATAATTTCAGTTAGTTAATTGAAAATGTAAAATTATGATCAAATTATTTTTCTTGAATTTCAATAATGACTCTTTGATTACAAATATCCCTTACTCATACACTTGATTAATGCAAAACGTCAAAATGAACACCATGATTTACAAAATATGATCGATTATTTTTAAAAAGCATTTTAATATGACCTTACAGTAGCAAATATAGCATTTTCACATAGGTAAAGGAATTATCGCATATTCGCGAAACTATTAAATAACGGATGGCGATTTTTCTACCGCTTAAATTTATTTTAAATTAACAGTTCAATTGTTTCGCCTATGCCGCATTCTATTGTTGAATAAAATAATTTTTTTTTATTTTAACCTAATCGATGTCATTATATAACTTAGAGAGATGAAGCCATGACTTTTCTCGTTTTTCCTGTGATAAAGAGGGTATAGGTAATTGTGAGAGAAAGGATCTAGTCGAATCAAGATATCCTCAACAAGACAGTAAATATACCTTGATTGATTCATAGTTAACTTGATAATCAAGGATAATCGGCAAAATTTCCCAAAACGAAAATTCTGGCCAGTAACATTTAACAAAGTAAATGTAACAATTTTGATGGCACTAAATTCACAATTAACATGTTATTAATTTTATCACTAAAGAAGAGGTTAATCAGGACACTAACCTGCCAAAGCAAGAAATCGCTCAAGCGAATTTCACCGGATGTGCGGATTAGAACCTCCAATGGTGGACTCCCATGCGTAAATAAGTTTTGCTCTATCAAGTTCTCGTCAATGTCCCTTTGAAATCGATATGCTTATTGAGTTAGTTCGTTCATGTCACCGATGATATCGCGGGGAAATTAAGATATGCAGACCCGTACTTAATTTTCAACTGATCTTTCTCCACCATCTTCACAATTTTCTTGACGGAAGTTGTTAATTCATCTCTAGAAGTGTATGGAAAACATACGTTCAAGGTCGGGCTGATATAAAGCAATTTTTTTGTATTTTTTTGTAAATAGGATTCATCATGTGAAACGAGTTGCGTATCTCTTGACATTAAAGCATCCTACCCAATATTGTCTTTGGTAGTTTCAATTGCCTTTTCCATAACTTCCTTTAAATCCGGTGAAAGATATGACATGTTCCCTAGTATTTTCACGCAAATCCCGTGTTTCTTTACTATCTCGCTAATTGATGTTCCAGAACACACGAAAATAGT